GTTGTTATATATATATATATATATATATATATATATGCGAACGGAGACAACCGAAACGTTCATTTATTGTCAGGCTTTCGGGGTACATCCTTAGCGCAGGTACATATTGCTAGCGAAATACAGCCAATCAGTTAAATTACTTGTAGTAAACTCCGATATAAATTCACAATGCCGCCACTCTGTGATATCTCATATACGGATGTCTATTTTTCTATGTGCGCATCCGCACACACATGGCTGTTAGAGCGTATATGAATGCACACACATACTGACATCAGCTCTCTGATATCCTCTTCACAGGTATCCCGCCACTGCTACAGCTCCGACATCTCCTCAATACACAAACACAGTGAAACGGGCAAATGGGTCGTAGACGACAAGACACACGGCACGGCTGAGTATGACCACATTATAGTGGCCACAGATCCCCATGCCGCAGCAATTATACTGAGAAACATAAGCCCTAAACTAGCCCAGACCATTGGCCAGGTTGAAGTCACACAGAGCGAAACCATACTGCACACCGACGAGAGCTTCATGCCGTCGGACTCGGCTTTGTGGTACGTCCATTGAAATCCCGTATGTGCGTATGAAGGCACCTTGATAAGTTATATAGCACATGTATTTGTTTTGGTGTACATGTAACTGAGATTAATCATGCCTTGACCGTTGTTGTCAGTAGGCCCGTACGTGGTCAAAGTTTTATCAATAAATTAGTCACATGCTTTTCTCTATTGAGGTCTTTCTAATATTCAAATGGTATCTCTGAGGCTAGTTGCTGTCAGTAGGGCCGTTAGAGCCCCCCCCCTCCAAAAAAAACCCCCCAACAACAGGAATTCCCAAAGACAGACCTTCATCATTCATCATCGTCCATATCACCGCCTACAGGTCGCCCATGAATTTGAAGTCGACCCGTACGCCGGGTGCACAAGAGCAAACGCAAACGGAATGCACGGCATGGATCAATGCTCTGCAGCCAATCTCCGACAAACAACAAGTCTTCGAGACTTGGAACCCCCTCTCAGAACCTCGAGAGGGTACGGTTATATCGCGGTCGATGTTTGATAGGCCGCTGGTTACCATGGAAACGGCACAGATGCTGCACGAGGTATCTGCAGCACAAGGGGTTGAGGGTCTATGGGTGTGTGGCGCGTACACCCTTTCTGGAGTGCCTCTACTAGAGAATGCAGCTGATAGCGGACTTAGGGTCGCCGAGAAATTAGGTAAGTATGAATACTTACCAACAGTAGCAGTTTTTTATTTGCCTTTCGTGCATTATCAGTTTTTGTGCATGTGTAGTATATATATGTGCGTTACAGACTCATCGCATTGTCCGTGTCCATTTGTGTACATTCTCTACTTCCAACCCATATCCCTTGTGCTATAGTTGGTTTCTGCGTATTTCAGCTGTATATGGCTTTTGACTGTACTTGTGCACTAAGTGCCGTGCCTTTGTTTTTACTGCGGGTTTGAATAAAGCCGACCTTTGCGATGAGAATGTGTGTGCTCGTGACACGAGAGCGTTATGGTCAACACACTATAAACTTTACTAAACACAGTGGCCGTGTGTACCCAACGACACCTATTACCACGACATAACCCATCAAAAAACAGGAGTTCAGGATATCCACCGATATATGCACGCTTGCGCCGGATAGCTAGCAACCATACCAAGTACAAATCTATACACTAATACGCCGGTACCGAACCTTGTATATACACACTCGACTACACAGCCGGCGTGAACCGACCGTGGGAGCACTCATTGCGACGTGCCGTACCATCGCCGGTACATGCGTTAACTGCGGTGAGTGCCAATCTCATGCGAAACGCAGCACAGATGACCGGCAACGGCATCTCTCGCGCAGCAAATTGGTCCAGGGACTGTGTGCGGGAGATGTCGAGTATAGCGTTCAAAACGTTACCGGGTTGGTCAGATACGCCGGATACCAAATAGCAGTTCGCAAGTTGTTGGTGTAGTTGTGGTTTGCGTAGCGTTCGGCATTGACATTCTTAACTGTATTGTTAAGATACGTTTTGCATGCGATAAAGTACCTCCAATAATAGTTACAGTAGAGTGCTTGCGGGGAAGCGCAGTGCTGTCTGCGGGTGACAGTTCAGCTAGGTGGCGAATTTAGTTTAGATATCTGGAGATGCCTCCGAGTGTATCAATATGGACCTTTAAACGCACCAGGTTAGTGGGTGTTGGTTAATAATAATTCAATAAATTAATATTTTAATACATCCTATAATGGGGTTGACTGGATCGGTATATGAAATTATGGGACTTTGTTCTCGGGCTGTATTAAGACCGCAGATTAATGCATTAAGAATAAATAAGTGCAATGGGTGGGATAGAAGGTTGTTGAAGGTTATTGATCTTGAACGTTTACATTTGTGAGGTATAAGTGGCAATGTATAGTAAAGCAATAGTTGCAGCCATTCCTATTGTCAACGGCCAGTAGGATTTGAACCAACGTCCATTTTTACAATACTTTGGTATTGAAAATATTGAATTGCCCGTAGGGATCCAAGTCAACTGCATGGTATTGTTTGAAGCGAACTAATGTCGGCAGTACAGTGCATAAAATGTTACGTATAATCATACGTATCTGAACACTTGTTGTTATAGTGTAGACCCCCTCTATAAACATGCGCGTGCAACGGGTTGACCCTATTTTTATCATTCTGTATTTCAGCTTGATAGCAGTCTGAATATACAACGGTCGACAGAACAACGTCATACAACGATAGTCCAGAGATAGAAATCTGGACTAGAATCATATACTGTATTGTATTTGTGACCATGATTATGAATATACAAACTCGTCTCATATATATTGCTAAATTGATAACAATAGATGCGAAGATACGAGCTATAGACATATATGTTGTGCTAGTCTAATAAATATACGGTTGAACTCAGTACGGTAAATGGTGGATGGTGAATAGTTGCGATAGAAAAACAAATTCAGTACTACATTCCTAAGCACGAATATTGAACCTCATTCTGCTGCATTCATACGAATTAGGATCACACACCATGCTGCTACGTTAGTAGGCATAAAAAGGCTTGCCCCTCGTGTTTAGTAAGTGTGGAGGATGCTACAGGTACACAAGATTTATCGGTTTACACGTTAGTTTTTCGTGCAAAGAAACGGTTTTTAAGTTTAGAATGAACTATTGCGTACATATCAAACATACGTGCTGGTCCAGGATAGTCGAATATCTAGTAGAATATAAAGTGAGAAATCCCTTGGATATCACAAAACGAGTAGACTTTATTGATTTTCTCGCCATAAACAGATAAAGACGCGTTCTAACAACCGGTTTCATATGTGTAAGCTTGGGTTTTTAGAGTGTTTATGTATATGTGTTTTTAGAATGTATATGAATACACCAGGGCTAGATTTTTTCCGAAACGAAAAAAGTTTAGACATATTTGTAAATCCCGCACACATCTCTAAGCACAAAGTGTGTTGATTCCTATCTATGAGGACATAAAACATCTAGTTGGACACTCAGTGATGACAGACTGTAACAGTAATACACACATACACGGACACTGTATTAACGCGTGCATAGTATACAAGTATTGACCTGAAAGGCGTGAGCCGAGTTTGACTACTGACTGTTCTGAGTACATACTGCGTACGACTGAATTGAGGAAGAAAAGTCGGGAGTATTCCCGAATATGCATTTTCAATTTTCAATTGTGTCATAAGCTTTCCGGAATTTACTTTCTTTTTCCGGAATTTACTTTCTTTTTCCGGAATTTACTTTCTTTTCCCGAATTCACTTTCCAGTTCTAGTCTCATCACGTTATGTAGCTCTGTATACGAAGAACCTAAATTTCCTAAATTTATACAGTTTTGTTTTAGCGCGAAAGTGATGCAAAAGGTAAACGTTAAAAGTATTTATTTTTATTTTACATTACTATTAGATAGTGGAAAACGTGATGAGGAGCCGTTTTTAGGAAACAACTTTTTAGTATTAATACCCGATAGTATATATTTCCAAAATATTATACCAATCAAAACTCAAAAAAGGATTATTCTGACTTTATTGATCATTTCCTTCACGAGAATATTTTTGGAAATGAAGTTTCCTGATTTTTCCTGAGGTCTGATTTTGGAGTCATCTACATCATCATTTTTAATTCGGAGGGGTTTGGCTCGTGGACTTCCGATCATGCGCGATAAGTGTTTGTGAACACAATGTCACAATTATTTACACATCGTACTCTGGAAGTTTCTGCTCAGGGAATTCCAAAGTTCCAGGGTTCCTTTCTCTAAAAAGTACCCATAGCAAAATAGTATAAATAGTGTGATTTCCTTTCGGATAACAGCATTCATATCACAAATATTAACATTACAAAACAACCCAAATTATTAACAACAACAAACAACATGCCAGGACAAAATAACAAAGCGCCTGTAATCGGTATCGATCTTGGTACCACATACTCATGTGTCGGTGTATTTCAGCACGGAAAGGTAGAGATCATCTCCAACGACCAAGGTAACCGTACAACGCCCTCGTACGTTGCTTTCACGGACTCCGAGCGACTTTTGGGAGACGCCGCGAAGAACCAGGTAGCGCTTAACCCTAATAACACGGTGTTCGATGCCAAACGATTAATTGGCCGACAGTTCAATGACAACGAAGTACAGGAAGATCTAAAGCACTTCTCATTCAAAGTTGTGGAGAAGAACAAGAAGCCAGCGATCAAGGTAGAGTATATGGCTGAAGAGAAGACATTTCTGCCTGAAGAGATATCCTCAATGGTGCTGACAAAGATGAAGGAAACGGCTGAGGCCTACTTGGGAACCAAAGTGACCGACGCCGTGATCACTGTGCCTGCATATTTCAATGATTCTCAAAGGCAAAGTACAAAGGATGCTGGGGCTATCGCAGGTCTGAACGTGCTACGTATCATCAACGAGCCAACGGCTGCTGCGATTGCCTACGGATTGGACAAGAAGGCCGCCAATGAGGGGGAGAAGAAAATCCTAATTTTCGACCTTGGAGGAGGTACCTTCGATGTAAGTATACTCACCATAGATGACGGTGTGTTCGAAGTCAAATCTACTGCTGGTGACACACATTTGGGAGGTGAAGATTTCGACAACAGATTGGTAGCTCATTTCGCCAAGGAGTTCCAACGCAAGACCAAGAAGAATCTAACTAAAAACGCGCGAGCCATGCGTAGGTTGAGAACGGCGTGCGAGAAGGCTAAACGTACGCTATCGTCGTCCGCACAGGCCAATGTTGAGATCGACTCTCTTTTCGAGGGCGCTGATTTCTATACAACCATCACACGCGCACGTTTCGAGGAGATGTGTGTAGACTTGTTTAGAGGCACACTGGAACCAGTTGAAAAGGCATTGCGAGATGCAAAGTTTGACAAGTCAAGTATCGATGAAATCGTACTGGTTGGCGGTTCCACCCGTATTCCAAAGATTCAGAAACTCTTGTCTGATTACTTCAACGGCAAAGAGCTGAACAAGAGCATCAACGTGGATGAGGCCGTAGCCTATGGAGCGGCTGTCCAAGGAGCCATTCTGAGAGGCGACACAGACAGCGCCGTCAGCGATCTGCTACTACTGGACGTGGCACCCCTATCTATGGGTATCGAGACTGCCGGTGGAGTGATGACTTCCTTAATCAAGCGCAACACCACCATCCCCACGAAGCAGACACAGACCTTTTCCACATACGCTGACAATCAGCCAGCGGTGTCTATTCAGGTTTACGAGGGTGAACGAGCCATGACTAAGGACAACCACAAGCTGGGTGCCTTTGACCTAACCGGTATTGCCCCTGCTCCCAGAGGAACACCCCAGATTGAGGTCACCTTTGATATCGATGCCAATGGTATCCTCAATGTGTCTGCCCAAGACAAGGCTTCTGGTAAGTCCGAGAAAATCACAGTGACAAACGATGCGGGCCGCCTGAACCAGATTGATATCGATAAAATGCTTGCGGATGCCGAGAAGTATGCCGCTCAGGATGAAACGCAGCGACAGAAGGTCACCGCTAAGAACGATCTAGAAGGATATGCGTACCAGGTCAAGAACTCTGTGGAGAATGATCTCAAGGGAAAGATCTCCGACAGCGACCGTGAGAGTGTGATCAAGAAGGCGGACGAGGTCATCAGCTGGCTGGATAATAATCAGACAGCTGAGAAGGACGAGTTCGAGCATCAGAAGAAGGAGTTGGAGGCTGTGGTGAACCCCATTATGACTAATGCATACAAGCCGGCCGGTGGTGACGGCGCTGGTGGTATGCCTGGGGGTATGCCTGGAAACCCCGCTTCTGAGCCTACTGTGGAGGAAGTCGACTAAATGAACACCAGACTAAAAATTGTCGTCACTCTTATTAGTAAAATTGTAGAAGAAATATAAAGTAGTTAAAAAGAATATTGAATCTAAAATTACGTCTCTGAGTTGCTGTTTGGGTATTGTTCATCATAGTATCATAGTATCAATCTTTCATAGAGTTGGTCGTGTATGAGTATTCGTCAATCCATTCGGTATTGCAACCAGTTCAGTTCATCATAGGATAATATACAAAAAATTAAAGCAAACACATGCGAGTTGGGAATATAACTGTGTAGCAATTACGTTTTATACTGCAATGTCCATTTTGGCTGTTCGCAGACTGTATATAACACGTATCGCTTTTCTCTAATTTAGTTCTGTAGTGCCATGTTAAATAGCTAAATAAATACCATTTATCATGGACACATAGGGTTTGTCAAGTGAAAAATACAAGATGCTGAAAAATAGGCATTACTTATACGCTAGGGTCAGACCGATTATTTGGTACAAAGTGATGGGCAGATTCGCATGAAATGGTGCAATTCAGTACCAATAAGGTACGCGCCTGATATACGCGCAAATACTGGTCCTGACATCCTGGCATCCCTCATACACGTTCATGCACTTGTCGAATGGTAGTGACGCTGTGCAGAAAATCGAAAGGTAATACACGGTTAGGGTATAGAATATTATACTATTAGGGATGGCTAGAGGCTCTCGCTAATGTCCAAATACATAAGGTAGGTGTGCCTGGCCAGCAGCATTTGGTTTCGATATTCGATGTTAGTGTGGTACTGCTGTATTCTTAAGGTATTTATTATTTTAGTTGCATACTGTTATAGCTGAATACCGGAGTTTATTTTTTGGATCTCTGACTCAACTGATCGGACTGAAGTCGACTGAGACTCACTGAGAGACTGAGAAGTGACTCGTGAGCACGCGCAAATCTCTAGAGTAGTAGGGTTTAAACTTTAATGTTGGCGAGGTGTCACTGTCTCGGTTCACCTGACTTCCAGTTATTTCATAAGCATACGTACTCTCAAAAATATAATGTTCGTATTTATGTGCAATCATGGTCTACATAGAACAGAAAAGGCAGCTGTTGTGACCCCAGAGACTGAACTAGAAGGCAGGACACGATCCTCCAGTGTTGGAAAATATCGAAGGGAGTCTCAGGCTGAGTGTAAATACAAACGACAATAAAATCACTGAGGATAGAGCGACAGTATAAATACATTATAGCGACGACATATGCACTAGTCAACGCAATGGCGGGCGAAGACAAGCGGAAGATTTGCCCACGGCGCATTACACAAGAAACATTCGATGAGGCTGTGGCAGAGAATAAAGACCTCTTTGACATGTCACACGAAGATGCGGTACAGGAGAGTATCGAGCAGTTTATGATCCAAGGTGTAGATCTGTCCACTATAAGGACCGGCGAAGGTGAGATTCAGTTTTGTTTTACAATATATATAGTGTGTATGTGTATTATATATATATATATATATGTATATATTATTACATTATTATATTATTATATTATTATATATATTATTATATATATATTATTATATTATTATATTATTATATATATTATATGTATATATATATATATATATATATATATATATATGTATGTATGTATGTATGTATGTATGTATGTATATACATATATATATATATATATATATATATGTGTGTGTGTGTGTGAGTGTGTGTATGTATGTATATATATATGAATATATGTATATGTATATATATATATATATATTTATATTTATATATATATGTGTGTGAGTGCATTTATATATAAATGATATCTTCATTGATATTATTGCTCGTTGAGCTGTGTGTACGCAAATATCACGCCACATATACTTGGTATGGTGATAAATATCAAAGACGTATTGGACATATCACACAAATGTGCCCTGCAGGACAGTATAGATTATTCTCAAAGTTTTTTCTACTATCTAATACAAAGAAGGGCGAATGTGTCCAGTGTTTTGGATATGTTCCTTGGGACGGATGAGGTTGTTGCTTATGTGGACACGTGTATGTATTTACGATTATGTTTGGTCTGTACCAAGTTTTAGACCAAAGAGTACTACGAAGTCTCACGCAGTGAATACATTTTCTCGATTTGATGTACTGTTTTCTGGAGTGTTAAGTAGTATCGTCTTTATTGTGATTATTAGAGACGTAGTATAGGCTGGAATGAGTGGTTGACAGTCATTATATGTAGACGATCCAATGCAAAGCATTCAGGAATACTGGTGTTGGTACCTTATGTTTAGTGTTATGTACTTATATATATATCATGAATATACTGGGTATTGAAAAATAAACGTACACACCCATCCTTAGTTGAGTATGTATCTGTACACTGTACACGTACAACTGAACCCTATTTTATGCACGATATTTGTGAACGTTTTGACCGTTCGCTTTAGCTTGACGTGAGAGTAAGGTGACATTTTATGTCAACCTTATCTACCCAGTCACTTACCTACGTGAATTACATTATCACCCGCCTGCCGGCACACATATCCAAACGCGAAGGTGGCGCTGTGTAAGTAGCCATGCAACCTCAAGTAACCAGCCTTGCGTACGATCAGTTACATTAAGTGTCATCCTATCTGTCCTCGTATTCAATTGGCGATGAAGAAAGTATGTTTTAGGTGCTCTTTATATCAAGCGTATACGTTTTGAGAATTATATTTTTCTTCGAAATATATCTTTCACGTACAAGTTCTGATACTTGCACTCAAATGTGCATACAAATGAAGTTCTGAATGTATATACATGCATGTATCTGACATGTAAACACGCCACCTTCCGCGTACCTTTTTATTCCATATCTTATAGACGATGAAGAGAAAGTGTTCCAGTGGGATACCAACCCCACCGAAACTGATAAAGAAGGCAAGCCACACATCATGGACGACCGAGAGAACTTATTTCTACAAACCGATGCGGAACTCATACAGAGGAAGAAGTACATGGCTAACGTTAACTATGACAAAGGCGAAGCTATCAAAGTGCCGTGCAAGATACTGTGTGCACAGGTAAGACCCATCCCAGACGATCAATCTAGCTGCTACGTATATATATATATGTTATAATTTTAAATATATTTGTATTTAAGATATATATTTATATATATATATCTGTGAGAGTGTGTGTGTGAGTGAGTGAGTGTATTTATATATATATATATATATATAACGCATACATCTTCATCCGACATTCAACAGGCGTGGAGTAATCCATTTGTTTTCACGGGGGGTGCCGAGAATTCAATCCGAAAGATCGACACCGTGGCCAAGACCATTGTAGGGACCACCAGGAAACAAGAGGTATGCGCATTGAATGTCAGAGTCCCTCGATGGTTTATATTTTGAGCCAATAAGACAACAATACTTGCTTGTACCACTTTGTGCTCGCATAGATCGAACAAAAGACTTGAGCTTCGGATGAAAGCCCGGGTGGGTATGCCTTCGCATTGCCGTTAGCATATCTCTAGATAGGCGTTGAAGCTTGTACTGTATGAATGTATTGCCTGAACTTCCTGGTTTATTGTGGGATTGACTTTCAACTCGAACTCGGTCACATACAGTTACGAACTGGGGCGGTATTTAATGTACAGTGAACATCTACAGTATACATTGTACCACCTTGTATCGTTTTTTTCTCTTATGTGAAGATATACACTCATGCCATCATCTTCACGTATAAGGTTTCTGCTCGGTATGTGTGGGTTGTACGTTGTGTATGTACGACATATACTACTATATTGAACCATGTATCACTACTATAGTCGAGTTGTATACGAACATGTAGTAGCCGTATATCGCGGAGAAGAAGTTTCTCATCACTCAACTACAATGCTCAACTCGTATGTTGACCTTTGAGAACCCTCTACTCGACCGGTTCGTAGGGCCCTATCTCCGCACTGGCGACCTCTGCGGAGTATCTCGTGACAGGGTCATGGGATAGAACTATAATCGTATGGGATGCCGCTTCAATGGTAAGTGTACACTATAGCGCTGTTGCGTCGAGTGTTAAGAGTGAGACGATGTACAGTGCGCTTATGAGGCGGATGTCAATGTTATCTGCTAGATAGCACTGTTTTTACTCGCAAGCTTTGGTCATGAGCGTAATTATATATATATATATATGTTTCTTTGTCTGTGTGTGTGCCTGGCTAAAACCCTGCACCATATATATATATCTATATCTATATATATATATATATATATATATCTCTCTCTCTCTCTCTCT